TGTACACAAATGCAACCCTGCAAGGATGGGCAAATGGTAGATGCTCAGCTGGCATGGCATTGTTGGAATGGTACGACAGATGGGGATCTTATTTTTGTCCACCATTCTACTAGAGTTTTTTGCACCAGCGCTCTCTTTACATTAGTTCTGCCACTGGCTACAAGTATCGACAGGCACATTAACGACTAACAGCTGGCCACTAAAACGTAGGGACAGGCTTGTAAATTAGCCGAGATGGTCAGAGACGGGTAAATTTCTTGTAACCGAGAGATTAATAGGGGTTGTCTAAAGTTCCATAATACAATTAATTTCTTTAAGCAACATTGGACAAACCAGTTTGGTCCCCCAAACGACTTTGGATGAACTGAAAAAAAAAAATCAACTATTTGTTTCTACTTTCATATTGATTTTAGCCTTTCTGTATCCAGTATCCATGTAGCACTGTTGGCTAAGGAAGATGGTAGTAGCAGTTTAGTCTGGAACCATGGCAGTGTTCCAGACGTTGCTAGGTTACCAGTTGGAACGCTAGCACTCTACTCCCCTCCCCTTGGGGATGTCTAATTGTCTTGATTGTAGGGTGACTTAGGGTATATAGTCTCTTGTCTGCACATTTGTTATTTGCTATCTGTCTTGATGAAAGCTCTGTGTTGGAGTTGAAACGTCGATATTTTACATGGATTAAATTAAAGCTAAATTGTGTTATTTATCAAAGTTCCAGGAGTGCAATTGTTTCCACACCTTTATATATATATATGATTTGAAGAAACAAATGCATTTTCTGCACACAAATCTAACAAGTAGCTCAGAGGAAATTAAGGTGGAGTCCTTCATCCAAAATATATAGAGAAGACAGTGATATTTAACAATTAAAGACATGTTTAAACATTAATATGATTTAAAAAATAACTGAGTTAATAAAAACAATGATTTGAGCTTAATTTAAGAAATTTAAAAAAAAAAAAAAAAGCTTGAGTATATAAAAATATCAGGCTCTTATTTGGTATGACAGATTCGTGATTTACCCTATTGACACATAACCGTTTAATCCACAAGGATTGTAATAACGGTCCGGTGACTTCATGGCGTGTAAAGTGACTTCCTGCCCAGCTGTGCTATTATACTTAATTAGCATGTAGATCCTTTGGAAACTCCATAAATACCATTTCAGCATCTTCAATAGATCTCATGTGGATGGAAATTTACAGCCATTTAAAGCATCTCTAGGAGTTACACATTCTGAACATTTGGATTTCTAGCCAACAGATGCGTTGCAGCCTAGCAACAAAACAGGCCATGTTCTTGCAATGGAACACACAGAAGAGGTGTTTAGAATGTGGTCTGTTTGAATAGATGTCACTTTAGAATTCTAGGAGGAAATTGCATGGAGGAATTGCAGGAGGAATTGGATGTCTCTTTCTCTTTCAAATTTAACACTATCTAGTCCTTTCCATGGCCTTTTCTATCCTATTATCTTTACCCATAATCTTTAATGCTGAGCTGGTCCCGAATGTTAAAAATAGGCATAGAAAAAAGATGATAATAGCTAAGCACTTCATCGTTAAAGTTTTCTCGTCTGTTAATTTCATTGGTTCAGCCTCCTTCCAATCATCCTTCTGAGCTTGTTGATTAACACATTTCCATTGTGATAGTGGTGTTTCTAAATCTGTTACTAGAAAAACCTCAAAAGATTACCACATTTTCCCCAATTTTTCCCATTTCTTTTGCTTATTCCATGATTTAGATTGTCATTTTATTGACAGAATGTCAAATGTTTGTTTGTTTTTTTGGTAGGTTGACTTGATTTTGTTATCATAGAAACTTCTGCTCAATAAAACCCCCCAAAGAAATAGATATATTTCGACATTTAAAATCACGCCAACTTTATGTGAGTGAAACCAACTCTTTTTCGAAAGTGTACCACAGAGAGCAATCAGATCTCGCGGATGTTGAAAATTGATTGTGGCTGCTTTGGCAAGGTGCACATTGAATGTTTGTCACTTATTATCGGTTTCACTATGAACAATCTGAAGCTTGTTTTTTTTTTCCCAGTTGAGAAACATTTTTAACTTCATGTACATTACTACTACCATTTTTTTTTATTTATTGCATTTTGTCATCTTTACGTTTTTGCTTCTGAACTTGCTCTTAGCTGAACACTGATCATTTTTTAATTTTTATTTTCCCATTATTTATTTTTAAGATTTTTATTCTGGAATCACAGAGTCATATTTTTTTCCCTTTAAAATATTTGGTGATTTCCTTGTGTTTTTTTTCAGGGTACCATAACTTTAAATATGTTATTTTGGTAAAATAGACAATTTAATTCTTAGCAGATTAAAATGGTAATTAATCATGTTTTACTAAATATCCTTTATCTGCTGGTTCTGTTATTGTCTTCAGTGTTTGAATGAATATTCTCAATACTGTAAACATAAATTATAGATATAAGGCTGAATAAAAGTGATACTGCTTTAACAATCCCACAGAGTCTCAATTTAATTTCTGGACTCCAGGACCTTGTCTACTAAATGTCAGATTAATGCAAACAGGCTTTTCTAGGTATACATAATGACACTATATCAGATCTCCATATGCAAATAAAAATTAATTAAAGATGCAAGAAGGGTATTATGCTATAAACCGACAAATTTAGGAAAATTAAACTCTGACGGCTATTCCCTTTTAAGCTGATGTTGTTTAGATTGTATGATCATATTACTTGAAAATTGTAATGGTAATTTTAATGCACAGCATTATTTTTGTCAATTAAAATAATGTTATTTAAAGGTACTGGTCTGGGTGCAGAGTCCCTGTTACCTAATCCCTACAATGTTAATTACTGAAGTTTCAGAGAAACTGCAATAATTACATTGCAAGGTCAAGAACGCCTCTAGTGGCTGTCAATCAGACAGCCACTAGAGACACTTAATGCATGCTAGGTGACTTTTGGTTGCCTAACTGACACTGGACGTCTTCACGCTCTGCATGAGCACATCCAGCATCTGTAAAATCCCCATACGAAAGCATTGTGGTGCTCGCCATGCATGGGTATTAGTGCCCTCCTGGCAGATGGCATAGGACATCAGCAGTGGAATGGTTTATTAAAGCTTATAGTGAGGGGGTGGCGCGAAAGTGGGGGCATGCGCGAGAAAGCTATAGTGCTAGGAATACAACTATAGCATACCTTTAAAGCTTTATCATTATTTCCAAACTTGTACTGCTTTACCTTTATTCTTACTCTTTATTTATAGAGCTATTTACAAACAATTCAAGAGTTGTTCATAACTACGCAGTCAATAAACCATCACGTTGTTATACAAAGAGCAGTCCCAAAATGAAGCCTCAAAAAGACCATTTTTTAAATGAATGTGTTCTTTATCCCATCTCATATACTTCTCTGAAGATACAGAAACATATAAAGATAAGAGACATATAAAAGGCAGGAGAGCAATGGGAACAATCTCAAAATCCACTATGTGCTCATTAATCACTTTAAAAAATCATGTATACACATTTTTACTTTCATTTACAGATACACATTTCTCTGCCAGGACCCCATCCCACTCAAGTGATGTCTGCTAATGTGCTAATGACAAGAACTCCTCTTTCCAAACAGTATAGGAAGTTTCAATGGGTGATACTATTCCTATGGTCCATTCTCTGTTAACATTACATTTAAGATTGCAATAGTATTATTTAAATACATTTACTGATGAAATCTCTGATTTAGCTGTATTTACTGTATGTGGTGGTTAGCATGTACTATCCAAAATGTCCCCTGAATCATTACAAATACCTGCATGCAGAATATTTGACCATTTTTACTTATCAATATTTTCCACATCTTCTGTATGTGAAAAACATTGTATCTTTTTATACTAACATATAAAAAGATACAAAAAGTACAAATCTTTTAATTCTCCCAAAAATGACATGAAAGACTATTGATTAAATAAAAAAAATACAAAGTGTGTAACACATAATTAACATTTTTACATTTGACTAAAAAGTAATCTATTCATGAAATGTATTTATTTATTTATAAGCTTATATGCTAGCAATGCATCCTATGTTGGTCAGTTTTGATCCAAAAAGCACTTGTTAGAGAAGGGTTTAAAGATAATTTTGTAATCCAGTTGATGTGGAATCTCAAGAATTTCTACACATAATCATAAACTACAGTACAGTTTGCTCTGGTGTCCGGCTAAATATTTCTGTTGCTTAGCCACCAAAACTCACTCAAATTTTGTCATAGAAAACTTCTCATATCCAGGTCAGAATGTATTGGTCATGACTTTTTTTTCTATTTGAAATGTAAGATATTTTAAGAAAAGACCATTTTTTTCTCATAATAAAATTGCTAAAATGGACCCAGGCACAATATAAAATATTTTCAGAAAAGACTATTAAACTCTTAAAATAAAATGGTTAAAATGTAAGGGAGGGACATTGCACCAGCGGGCAGTGAACTAATGAATAGTTTTCATGGAAAAGATTATTACTTTTAAAAAATTACATTTTAATAAGCTTTTAGTTTTCATCAAATTATATTTTTAAAATAGCACAGCTACAATTAGTATACATTACTAATATAATTGGCTGGTAATTACCTGATGTTTCTTAGTTATTTTCAGCAGCAATTTGCTGTAATATTGAGCTGTGTGCATTTTTAACTGCAAGTTAGCATTAAGGATTTGTATAAAAACAATTTGATAAGCATAAGCTAAATCTTCCTCTGAAATTAAAGTTATACCATGTTTGCTCTGCTAAATTAATGTTCAGTTACGTCAGCTCTGTCGCTTCTGTGTATTTCATGAAGGTAAAATCTTTACAAAATACTCACATCAACTGTGCTGGAATTTCATTAAGCGTGCAAGAGGATAACGATGATGCTGGATCCAAGATGGTCACCATAATCTAAGATGGTCGCCATGACACTCTGCGAGGAAGAGTGTCCGGTAAGTAATCTTCTGTCAGTTTCTTACCAAGGCACACAAGCAGGCAAGTCAGAAACAGCGATCATTGTAAAATTTGCACAGACCTTGAAAGCCACAATAACACATTGGTGTTCATTGTGAAAATACAGTCAGGCTGATGTGCTGTTCTCTTATATAGTATTCAGATGGTGTTGATAAATGGCCACATCTTAAAATAAACATGTTTCTACTAAGCTATATTTCTCAGATTTCCTTGTGTTCTCTGTCCTAATTTGTATCAATTTTTCCTACTCCAGTGATAGCTAACCATGACACCATAAATTGTTTGTGGACTTCATTTCCCATGATGCTCAGCTAGCTTTTAGACTCTAAAAGCTAGCTGAGCATCATGGGGAATGTAGTCCAGAAACAATTTATGGTATCAAGGTTAGCCATCACTGTCCTACTCCAACAATCATAGGCTTATTGACTAAAGTGAGAATTCAAGGTGAATTCACAGAGGAAATTGCAGAACCGGAAGGATTCACTAAATCAGATTTGCTCTCAGTTCGACTACTCTGGCCTTAAGTTTGAAATTCACTTTGAAAGCACGTTGCATTTTCCCTTTAGAAATATCAGGTACATGGTGCTGCAATGCTGTGGGAAAATTTTGTCGACTTCATCTGTCAACAAAATTTTGTCGACTGCATTTGTCAGACGTGGTGAGTGTCACAGGAAATATACTTCAAAAACGTCTGTGACGTTTAGTCAATAATTATGGCCCAAACACTTGTGGTTTGGATTTTAGTCTCTTTTTATACAGTTCAATGGTTCGGAGTCAGCATTTAGACTTACATATCATCATGTGGAAATGTAGTCTGCAGTGCCAAGGATAGACGTTGCTTGTGGATTTCTTTGGCTTAGAAGCTTGTAAACATAATTTCAATGCACTACATATCCCATAACATTTAGCTAGTTCTTGAACTGACTGGGAAATGTTAGATATGAGGTCCAAAAACATCTGCGGTTCCAAGGTTAGTTACTCTTATCTCTTACATGCTTAGCCATCAGCATTACTAAGAATTAAAAAGTGTATAGTGTATATCGTAATACAAACGCTATTTAGATCACCGTAAAAAAGCATTTTTACTCACCTCCTCTCCCACGCCGCACAGGTATCACAGCGGCTGCCCTTGTTTCCATGCTTGACATCATCAGTCTTGATGATCTCACCCATTTCAATGCTTTTCCATAGGAATGCATTGGGAAGCTATAGTGCATGAGCAGCAAATGTTGCATTAGTCCAATCAATCGAATCAATGCATCACTATAGGGAACAATCACACTGTGCAGCACTGGACTATGAAGCACCTCTAGTGGCCATCTGTAAGAAGACTAGAGGTATTACTATATTATTATTATTATTGGTATTTATATAGTGCTTTACAATAAAAGGGGAATTTACCAAATGAGACAATAACAACATTTAACAGGAACAATAGGTAGTTGAGGACGCTGCTCAAACAAGCTTACAGTCGTTGGGGTATAAAAACACAATAGGAAGGGTACTGAGAGAGACAGCAAATAAACATGGTGGGAAAGTAGCAGAACTTGAGGTGAGAGTGGAGTGTGGAGTCAGGAAGGTTTGAGCGGGGCCGGATTAATATAGGGGCTGATGGAGCTGCAGCTCCAGGCCCAGGCCCATGGAATAGGCCCATATATATATTGTTTTAACACACTACTCTTAGGTTTGCCACCTGACTGGTATTTTAAGGCACAGCCGGTATTTGAGGCTATCTGGCCATGACGGTATTGCAGTAATACCAGCAATACAAATGCAAATAATTTTCTCAGTATAAACAGAGATTACTCTGCAATACCAGCACGGGCCCGTAAGGGTCACTGTGTATGGAGAGAGGCAGGGATAGGAAGTTACAGCATCTCCCTGCCTCTCTCTACTCACTGATCTGCGGAGAGTCGAGACAGCAGCTCCCAGTCTGCAGAGACAGACTACAGCTCAGGTATGTGAAGGATGGGGAGAAAGGCAGTAGGGAGACATGGGAACACAGACACTAGGGGACACATTGGGACACTGGGAGACGTGGGGACACTGAGACACTTGGGGACACTGTGAGACATGGGGAGGTTGAGTCACATGGGGACGCTGTGAAACATAGGGAGACACATTGGAACACAAAGACACTAGGGACACAGTGTCCCCATGACTCCCAGTATCCCCTAGACTCCCAGTGTCGCCTAGTTGACTCCCAGTGTCCCCATGGCTCCCAGTGTCCCCTAGTCTTGCAGTGTTCCCAAGTCTCCAAGTGTCTGTGTCCCCATGTCTCTGTGTCCCCATGTCTCCCAGTGTCCCCATGTCTCCCAGCCGGTGTCTCAGTGTCCCAATGTCTCCCATGTCTCTGTGTCCCTAGTGTCCACATATGTCCTAGTGTCCCAAAATGTCTGTGTCCCCTTGCCTCCCAGTGTCCCCATGTCTATGTCTGCAAGTGCCCCCATTTCTCCCAGTGTGCCTAAGTGTCTGTGTCCCCATGCCTCCTAGCCAGAGTCCCTAGTGTCTGTGTCCCCATGTCTCCCAGTGTCCCCTAGTCTCCCAGTGTCTGTGTTCCCATGTCTCTCAGTGTCCCTAGTGTCTTAGTTTCCCCAAATGGCTGTGTGCCCATGTCTCCCAGTGTCTGTGTCCCCATGTCTCTGTGACCCTGGTAAAATAATAGGGGTCCAGGCACTCCTTGGTTCAAGACAGGCACTTTATTGAGAACCACAACAGCAATGTTTTGACCCCAAAAGGTCTGTGACCCCATTTCTCCCTGTGTCCCCAAATGTCTCAATGTCCCCATGTCTCCCAGGGTCCCCATGTCTGTATCCACAAGTGTCCCCATGTCTCCCAGTGTCCCCAAGTGTCTCAGTGCTCCCATGTCTCCCAGTGTCCCCAAGTGTCTGTGTCCCCGGGTCTCTCAGTGTCCCCATGTCTCATTGTGACAATCAGCAGTGGCCAAGGCCAGTAAGGTATTGTCATGCATGAAAAAGGGCATTCATTCTTGGGATGAGAATATCATTTTGCCTCTTTATAAATCACTGGTAAGACCACATATTGAATATGCTGTGCAATTTTGGGCACCTGTTCTAAAGAAGGATATTATGGCACTAGAAAAAGTGCAGAGTCGGGTTACAAAATTATGAAAGGAATGGAACATATCAGCTATGAAGAAAGGTTAACAAATTTAAATCTATTTAGTTTAGAAAAACGTCGCCTGAGAGGGGATATGATAACATTATACAAATATATTCGGGGCCAATACAAACCATTGTGTGGAAATCTATTCACAAAACGGACTTTACATAGGACACGAGGTCATTCATTTAGACTGGAAGAAAGAAGATTTTGTCTATGGCAAAGGAAAGGTTTTTTTTTTACTGTAAGAAAAATCAGGATGTGGAATTCTCTGCCTGAAAAAGTGGTTTTATCAGAGTCCATACAGATGTTCAAACAGCTACTAGATGCATACTTGCAAAAGCAGAATATTCAAGGATATAATCTTTCAATGCAGGGTAATAACTGCTTGGTCCAAGGATAAATCTGACTGCCATTCTGGGGTCAAGAAAGAATTTTTCTCCTAGCTTCTCCATTAGATATTTGTATTTTTCATTTTTCCTGCGGTGGTGTTCTGGGTTGATAACATCCTCCTTGACGCATACGTGTACGTGCATTCCACTTGAGATTACAACGTATGCGTTCCACTTGAGATTTGTTTGTGTGCATATGTTACCACTATTAGTCTCAAAGTTCATGCGGAGCTCTCATATTTTCCTACATATTGGCATTTTTAAAAAGAAAAGAAACTTGTCAGCCAGTAAACTTTGGCATGTAACAACATATTTATTGTGAATCAATGATATATAGCCAACCTTAGGCTATCTAAACTATATTCATCACATACTCATATATATGTTTTCTTTTGTACTAGGGATACTTTTTTTATACACAAATGTGATTTAAAACAATATATCTAATACACATGAAAAAATTATCTATAAACCATATATATATAGACAAACATTTATATACAAATCTTTCATAACTTGGCTTTATTTCTGTCTGAAAAAGACCACAATTTTCCTTTAAACTTAAGAAGAAAACACAATCAATTCATGGAATTATGATTAATTCAAATAATGATTAACCCTTAATTAATTAAAATTTTGGCTGATGTGTACCATGGTCATTGCTGCCGCCCAGGAGTGATGGGAGTTTGAGCGCAGGACTTGTTTCTTTGTATTTGTATTCACTTTTGTATCACACAGCTAGGTTACAATGCTGCTGCCCATTCCATATGTTCCCTATAATAAGCATGTAGGGATGTATATAAAGGAGTGATGGGAGTTTGAGCCCAGGACTTGTTTCTTTGTACTTAATTAATTTAATACCACAAAAATATAATAATAAATAATAATAAAGAATGAAATAATAAAAATGTAATAACAATAATGATAATAAATATAAAAATAAATGAATAAATAGAGAAAAATAAAAATAATAATGAAATAAAAATGAAAATAATGATGATAATATAAATAAATATAAAAAGAAAAAATATAAATAAAAATAAATAAATAAAAAAATAGAAAAAAAAATGAAAATAATAATAATAAAAATTAAATTAAATTAAAGGTTAATATAAAAATACATATAAATATAAAAATATAAATAATAATAAATGTGAATAATAATAAAAATAAAAAAGATAAAAGATAATACAGATGTAAAAATAAGCATAATAATTAATATGAAAAATTAATAATATAAAAAAAAAAATGAAAATTAAAAAAAAAAAAAATGGGGATGTGTCAATACAGACAGACATGAAGAGGATAGGAACCATACATTTTACATGAAACACACTAGGTCGATATACCTTTTAATTTATTGGAAATAAAAAATAGCTTTTTTTACCACCTTCCTGATTCCTGCTCAATTTATATGCTGAATTACGCTGCAAGAAGGAATAAAGGAGGATCTCTCTGAGCCCCCCATTGCTATCACGGGACGCACCCTACAGGCGCATATTATCCTGATATCCTGTGAGTGTAATATATTGGTGTGTCACTAAGTGCTTTAAAGGATACTACACTATGTTATTTTGTTTGTTTGTATTATATTTTTAGGTTTACAGCTGTATCCCAGTTTTTTTCCCTATACAACCAAGCATTCTGCTAGCATTTCCTGCTGCTCTATTACATTGTCTGCCTACCTTTATGTCATCTGAAATAATTACCTCTAAATTCCTTTCCTCAGATGTTGAGGTTAGGACTGTATCAAATATTCTATTCTCTGCCCTTGGGTTTTTATGTCCAAGATGCATTGTCTTGCACTTAGCCACATTAAATGTCAGTTGCCACAGCTCTGACCATTTTTCTAGTTTACCTAAATAATTTGCTATTTGGCTTATCCCTCCTGGAACATCAACCCTGTTGCAAATTTTAGTATCATAAACAAAAAGACATACCTTGCCATCAAGTCCTTCTGCAATATGGACGTGCATGGGCAAATAAATCGGTTCAGTTAGGCACTTCCGAAATTCGTCACTTCTGAAATTCGGCACTTCGGCAATTCGACACTTCGGCTTGGTTCGGCACTTTTAAAATTTGTGACTTCGGCAATTCAGCACTTCGGGACTTTGGAAATTCAGGATTTTAGCAATTCCTTAACCCTAACCCTACTACTAACCCTAACCTTAACCCTACCCCTAACTCTTCCCCTTACCTTACCACCAAACCTAAACCTAACCCTGCCCCTAACCCTACCCCTACTAGGTTCGGCAATTCAGGACTTAAGCAATTCTGTTCGGCACTTGCGCAATTCGGCACTTCCAAAATTCGTCAATTTGGACATTCGGAAGCATCCGAATGTCCAAATTGCCGAAATTTGTCCGAATTTACATTCAGAACAAAACAAATTACACATGTCTATTCTGCAATATCACTAATAAAAACATTAAAGAGAATGGGTCCAAGTACAGATCCCTGAGGTACCCCACTGGTAAGAAGACCATGCTTCCAATATACTCCATTGACTACAGCCCTCTGTGTCCTGTCACTCAACCACTGTCTATCCCATTTAACAATATTGGAATCAACTTGGCAGTAACAAAGCTTGCAGGAACAGGCTATAGGCACCAGAAGTATTGCATTAAGCTATAGTAGTTCTGATGACTATATTGTCCTTTTACAGATTGCAGAGTGTATTACAAATGCTCAACACAAGTTTTGCTTTGTATTCAAGCTTTTGTAAATATAATTTTAGGTCTTAAAGGGAGTCTATAGTGTTAAGAATACAAATCTGTATTTCTTACACTATAGTGCCCTCTGGTCCCTCCATTTCTAATGCACCTGGCATACAAAGGGTTAAGAAGAACTTTAGTCACTTACCCGATTCAGCGGTCAGCCTCCTCCGACATCATCTGATGGGGGGCCTAACATGCATGGTGAGCGCAGCGAGTGCATTAGGCATTGATGCTGGATGTCCTAATGTTGAATGTACTTTTTACATCATACCTTATGATGGTGAAAATGTTGGAGAAAAGTCTGGAATTATGTGATTGTGATGATGTTGACATTGCTTTTGTGTCTATCATTATCAAATGACAGAATGCAATAAACACCAAAACATAGGAGAACATACTATAGCTGAGAATATTACTCCTGCATTGACAAAGATAAACATGATTATCCAGATTAGACTGACTGTCGGGGCTCCCGTCTGGAGAATCGTCAATGGTGGTCTCTGAAATGACAGTAACAGGTTATTTAGCTACTTCCCAGCATCTTGAGATGATACTGTTTTTTAAATATTCCAATAATAGGTCAAAGGTTGTCAGGTTGAGAAAAGTCCACATTTATAAGTTATGTATCTTTTGGTAGCTAGTTGTTTGAAATAAAATACATTTGGCATCAGAAAGAAAAATGGTATTAAAAAATATATATATTTGTATCTTTCAAATTTCAACAGAAAGGCCATCTAGACCTTTTATTAGATTTTAGATTTGAAGATGGGTCTTCTGTATTTCCTTAAGAGTAAAGGGACCAGCGAGTTTATAATGATTGCTAAAAAAATTTTTTATTGCGATACTCAATGTCCTGTCATCAACAGGATTTTTGTATTACTGGGTCCCCCTAATGCCATCTAGCATCGATCCACTCCAGAGGAGATATGTAGCTTCGTAGAGCTGTTGGTTCATTGGTTGATGAGATGATAGTGATAATGCCGAGAGATACACAGACGTTACATTTTAAGCAATACCTTATATTCTTGATGTAATTCTGTAGTCCTTCAAAAAAGATTTTTTTTAAATTTAATAACGGTGCAGTCCAGGCACAATCACAAATAATGCTCCTTGCACTGATTCCCCTGTCACATTTGTCTTACAAACTGTAGAAAAATGCCACCTTACTTGCGGTTAAAAGCTCACCCTCCACTCAGATATTTGTCCATACTCCTGACCATGCAATCACTTTTAAGCAATGAACCTACAGGACAAAATCCTTTTTCCTTCACTGGTATGAAGGAATATTGTGACATGTGGTATGATATAACATTTTAGTTAAACATTGTTCCAGCAAAAATTGACAGCAAATTATTAAATTGTTTCACACTTCACGTTTAATCCAGGGATCTGCCGAGAACGACATGTGCATCCGTGTGCTTATACCATGCTACAGTTAGCATTGTGGGATTGCAATGGTGGGTCTTCATGCAGACCTGCTTTAGGCTTTATAGTTTACAGCTCTATCCCGATGGCGTAGAGTTTTAAAACTAAAATCTTACAGCAGAAATTAAATGCCATCCTTCTCTTCACCCAATATCTGTCTAGTACAAGCTTCCCCAAACTCCGGCCCTCCAGATGTTGCTGAACTACAACTCCCATGATTCTATAAATGAAATAGATAGACTGAGAATCATGGGAGTTGTAGTTCAGCAACATCTGGAGGGCCGGAGTTTGGTCTAGTATGATGCATGGATCCATGGTAAAAGTCTAGGCTCGTAGCATGTGTTGTCTTATCTCTCTCATCGCACACAGGGTTAATATATTAGCATGCACAGAAGTGCCTTGAAAACTGCAAAAAGCAGCATATAGTGAGCCCAGCTAGCTAATTTTCACAAAGTAAGCCTTAGGAGTACTTTAAATTGTGCCATTAAACTACAGTACTTGTGTTATAACAGTAATAACCATAATTTGTTTCTTAATAGCACCTTACAGCCTATCATCTCAATGCACTTCCAAGGCAAGCTGAATGCTATTATTACCTAATTGGCACTCATTTGGCTCTCATTTCTCTAGTTCAGAAGGAGGGATAGAGATTGATCAGGGCAGCGTTCTACCCTTTGAGTCAATTATGTTTTATATGAATTGTTAAAAAACACGCACAAAGGTCTCTGTGTCCTAGCGTAATATTTATTTGCTAAACAAGTAGTTTAATAAACTTTGTTTGAGTCACATTGAAAACACCTCAATCTTGTACAGATGCCGTTGAGTGATTAATAATTATGTGCTGAAATTATACATTAGATAGAATACCAGCTGTTCCCTTTATATCTTTTCAAAAATATTGTTCATTGTGTTTTCTGTGGTGTGAGGATTCTATTCTAGATTTCGCTAAATTGAGTTAAATAATAGCTTAACACTGTCTGGCATAGTGTGTAAGAATCAGTGATGGTTTTCTTTGGTGGATCCCCCAATGCAAGCGTTGGGTTGGATGTGCCACTGGCAACTTCACCATAACAGCTGCCATTGTCTACAGGTAGATCCCTAGGGCACTTACTGAATATGGTAAGACCAGGTTAGGTATAGGCGCTTAGGCAGAATTTGCATGTATGATTGCAGTACAATGTGGATTCCTACAGACTGGGTTAGTAACTTTGATTCCACTTGTAACTAAGATAGGAACATTGCCTCAGCTGAAACTATGTACTAAAGCTTACATTTTGAGACAGGGGTAGGCAGCCTTTTTCATTCCATATGTTGTGGACTACATCCCCCTTTAAGATTTGTCAGAGCATTATCGGAGATGTAGTCCACAACCTCCTTAATAGAAGATAAATTATGGGACTTCCAATAATAGGGTAAATAAGATGCAGTGAGGTTACATAATAAGAAACCCATCTGTTTCGTATAGATGCTGTAGAGAATGGAATGGGGTGAGTACTATGTCCCACATATGGCGGTACAGTCCCAATCTGACAAATATTGGAATATGTTGATCCATCTATCACTAGAATTACTTCTGAAATGGGATTGTTTAAAAGGTTTCCATAATCAACCAATAAGGTTGATATTATAACCACTAAATATTTCTGTGGGGGGGACTTTGGTTTCCACATTTAGGCCAACCGGATGAGTTGATATACAACAGACTCAAATAGTTAGTAATTTTATCAATGCAATAAACAAAATTAACTGCAAAGGAAATGATTGATTCACTAGAGACACGACAAATCTTATTAATTATTAATAATAATAAAACAAATGCCTAGCAGTGCTTATTAAGAAAAAACCTCTAAAGCAAATATAAAAACCACATACAAAGAATAAAAGTCAATGCTATAAAGGAGAGTTTCAAATAATAAACACATAAACCATTTAAACACCAAAAAAGAAACAATTTAAACACCAAAAAAAAAGATAGGATGAAAAGAAGGTTGTAATGAAGCCACTTATTAGGAAAAGCAACCCAATAATAAAGCGTAACTTTTATTCAAGTTTATTAAAAAGGTAAAATACAAATCTAGATATAGATATATGAGGTACAATACAGAAACCATTAGCATGCAAATAATGTATGTTAAAAACGTTCATTAATCTTTCTTTTTTTATGATGGTGTCAACAATATTTGAGGAAAAAACAGATAGAGAAAAAAAAAAAAAACACGTGTACATAATTTTGTATAGGACAATTTGTGTATTTACCATAATTTGCTTGGAAGGAATCTTATCATTGACTATGCATATCAAGTTCGTAGCTAAGTGGTAAGTGGAATTATCTGGTTCAGCTTAAGACTTCACGCAGATAAATAGTATCATTTGAAACAATTTGAACGATGTCTGGATCAATTTCTGCAGACATGGGCCCCTACTAGCAGAATAGTCATGAACAAGTCTAATCAGTATCAGGAGTATTACATCTCTTTACCACGTTTGCTGTAAGTGTCTGGTTAACTTATTAATATTATTATATTTCTAAAAAGCCAACAACTAAATATAATAGTTTAGTAAACAGAAAGTAATACAAAAGGAACAGAGGGACCTGCCCGTGAGGTCTAACATTTGCAGCCTTTTTATATAAAATACTATGCTAAATGGTTTATAAGCTTATAATTTAAAGGTTTTGACGTGGACTTGAGACAAGAGAGAGCAGGGGGAGATTTGGTTTTTAGAACATCTGCAGACACTGCTAAGATATACAGCAGGAAATACTCTTGACCTCATCTTCATCAATCTCCAATCTCTCCACTGTTCCATTTCCTTTATCTGACCACCATCTGCTGACCTTTGACATCAGCATACCCCATACCCAAATATTACCACCCTCAACTCTCCAATATTGCAGAAACCTCCACTGCCTTGATCTCCAGCATTTCTCCACCAAACTCCAAACTCTGCAACCTCACTCCACAACTCCACTCTCTTCTCTCAACTAGACATCATGGCACCTCCTACATTTAGATGCAGCAAGCATTCCCAATTACAACCCTGGCACACCAAGCTGACCCGATATCTCCTAAAATGTTCAAGAACAGCTGAACGCTGTTGGAGAAAGTCTCACTCTGCACCTGACTTCCTCCACTATAAATGTATGCTGTGCTCCTACACTCTGGCTCTTCACTCTAAAAAAGAGGGTGCGACTGCAGCACCATTTTGTGCGGGTGTCCTCGTCCATGAGGGCTGACCTGGGAGTTTGGGACACGTTCCTGGAGCACTTCAATGGCACATGTTCTTTCGATGGGAGGTGGCAGCTGAGCTGGAGCTGTATACAGATACCTCGGGCATCGTGGGATTAGGGGCGTACTTTGTGGGCGGTGGTGTGTGGTGCCCTGGTCAGCAGCCTGGCTGGATAGAACGCTGGTGCGGAGTCTGGCTTTCCTGGAACTGTTATGTTGGTGGTCGCCTTGTCACTTTGGTGTGCACTCCTGAGCGATAGAAAGATGATGTTCTATACTGATAATATGGCAATGATGCTAATAATATGTCGGGCACTTCGGTGCCAGTGGAGTGCATGTGGAAGTTTGTTTTGCTCTGCATGTCCCTAAATGTGGTGCTCTGCACGTGACACGTACCAAGGTATTTGAATGTGGTGGCTGATGCTCTGTCACGTTCGCAGTGGTCCTGATTTTGGAAGGAGGCACCTGGGGCACGGGAGGCCGGGTATGACGTGGCAGCTCGGGACGTCCTGCTTGGGGGACTGCTGAGGGCATCATTTGCCCTGGGTACCTGGACAGCATATTGTAAGGTTTGCATTGCTTTGGTACACATTCCGATTGCTTAGCAGGGGCTCCTCCCCGGCAGTGGTGGATAGGCACATGGCTGCGCTGGCGTTTTGATTAAAACTGCGAGGGTGGGTAGATTTTACTAAGCACTCTGTGATAAGACAAGCGCTCAAGGGCTTATGGAAAGGGAACACAACCCAGGACGCCAGGAGACCGGTTTCCATTAAAAGTTGAGTTTTCCCTCTGGGACATCTGCTTTGATGGTTACGAAACAGAGTTGTTTGAAGTGGCTTTCTTAGACTGTACGGGTGGTGATCTATCTGGCCCGGTCTAAGACTGATGTCAGGGGGAAAGGTGTTGAGGCAGTGCTACATGTTTTTCCGGGATCCCCCTTGTGCCAGGTGGCTAGTACTACTCAATACTTGTCTCGGCGTCCAACAACTGGCAGCTGGTTCTTAGTGCATGTCAATGGTTAGTCGCTCTCCCGTTTTCAGTTTCTCAGGGTCTTTCGAATGGGGCTTATCAGGCTGGTCTCCAGCCAAGCCAGTTAGGAATGCATTCATTCAGGGGCCGCGATAGAGGCAACAAGCTTGGGTTTGGGAGAAGAGCTTGTGAAAAAGATTGGTAGGTGGGAATCAGTTCGGTTCCGGTCTTAAAGTGAACGGATTGATGGCTGGCTTTGTCAGGAAGGTGGGGGGAGCGGTGGTTCGGCAAAGGGAGCTGAAAGGCGTGTTAGTGGCTATTTCTCTCCTGATGGGGTCCATCTCTCAGATGTGGGGTGGGACCTGTTTAATTTAGGATTGCAGGAAGGCTTGGTCAGGATGTTATTTCTGCGAGGTGGCAGAACTCAGACAGCTTAAGGTTTCAAGGTCTGAGCTTGCAGGGGTAAGGCACATTAAGGAAAAATGGGCCTTAGTTAATATAGGAGTAAGGGGAGTTAGTTGATTGGTTTAAAGGGTACACTGTTCGTACATGTTTTGGTAGGTTTGAAGTCCATGTATCTGGGTATACCCCTACCAGTTGAAACTGATGAATGTTGGCACTTTACATGTTATATTTAAATGGTTGTTATATATTGGGAAGTGTGTTATGTTGTGGGTCATTGCCTTGATTTAAATATGGGAGAGATAATATAATGTTTGGGGTGTAGCAGGTAATGACCTTTATATAATTGTAACTCACAAGTTATTATTATCTTTAATTCATTGAAGTTGTTGACATTTTTTACCCATACCCATGAGTGTCGGTGGCTTATTGGGTGAGTTGGGTTTAGGTTCATGTACCCCTCCCCTGCCCATATGGCAACTATGCACCTGTCAAGAAAGTAGAAACTACATTCGTTTTAGATTCCCCGAGTCCGAAGTGATGGTTAATCATTCTCAGCCATCTTTTAGCACTTCTACTTGTCCAGCTACTTTGACCTGTAATGTATTCTTTCTAAAGGACGTGTGAGAGTTTACATCCACAAGTCATAATGGTTGCCTTCACTTGATATATTAGACCTTCATAAATACATTGGCAGAGCAATTCCAGTGTTTGCATGGCCCACAGTGACTGTTTGATTCTCTTGATTGCTCCAAAAAAATATTCACCAACAAGACAGATGGACCATTAACCCTTTGGAGCCTAATTGTACGAGAGAACAATTTAATAAAGAATATTCTTGCAAAACGTATTTCAGTTGATTATGGCAAAACATTAAAAACCCCTAGCATGACACAGCACTTGATATCTTTAATACTACTCAACAAACCTCTAGTTTATTACAAAAGGCAAATAAATAGACTAAACATGGATAGTAAGCCAACGGACAGATGAACAGTTGAGAAAAAATTTAGCCCATCTGTTATATACACTGTGCCAACATTGCATTTTCATAATATAGTGAGCAGAGATTGAAAATAATATGTGCATGTTTATTTTTAGGGCAATATATTCATCGAAAAATGTGTAATCTCTGTTGGTATAAACTTCCAGACATATGTAGTAAAAAGCTGAACTGAACTCATTATGCTTTTCAAGTCCTCTATGGGATAACCTGCAGCATTGTTAAAGGGCTGCTAATTCTCAAGGTAAGTTGCTTTGCTAAGAATAATATGTATAGGGAGAAGTTTTTTGGTCAAAGATAAAGAAAAACTGAAGAAAATATTGTTGTTGTTGAATACACATGTTGTTAAATAAATTTAAAAAGCTAATTACCTTTAATTTGAACCTCTGGGCCCCAATTGTTAGCTCCCCATTAAAAATAAACAGCTTGAGACAAATATGTACATTTCTCAAGCCATTTTGTGAATAGGAGGCTACTAACTGGCTTAGAAAATCAGTTGACACTCTCCAATCAGCAGCACCCCCGTCAGTGGCATTCCAAGGCTTCCTGTTTGAAAAATCTCAGAAAAGCAGAAGGAGAAGTCTAAGGCTCAACAGTGCTTGAGACAAGACTTTGGAGCTAAACCAGTTGTAAATGGTTTAACCCAAAAGATAAGCTGGCACCAGGGACCTCCTGGCACCATAACAACATCATGCAGATTAAATTCTTATTTTTTTTTTTTTTAAAACATTATATTCCACAGCCATGTGATACACGATAGCGCGATGACGAGGGCAATGCTCAAATGTGTGAAGTATTAAGAAAGTGGTATCTAAAAGCATAAACAAACAAAAATACTTGGGGACATTTGTGGCATTTAGAGTGAATTATTAAACTGTTCAATACCTGATCATAAAAAGTCCATCTGCATATTCTCTCAAATTACGATTGAAGAGAATCGAAACTCAAATATTTAGACAATGTCCATGCAATAAAGAGTATCTGGGTTTTTTTTTTTACATAATATCTATACATGTTTGGCTTTGTAAGAAACCTAGCTTAGATTGGATCAAAAATGTTATACTGGTTCTATCAAATCTGTTTGAATACTACTCTATGAGGAATGTACTTTCTGGCATGCCATACATAAAACGGTTTCATTGTCCCTTTGCTGCCCCTGGAAGCTCTCCCAATATCTGTTTATTTATACAGTGTGATAAAGTGAAGGCAGATAGGCCTTTTAACCCCAGGGGAAGTACGTGTAGTTTGTGTGTTGCACAACACAAAGCTTTGTTTAGTTATGGGCACCTGGGGTGGAGCATTTGGAGAGAAGGGTGGACCAATGCTCCACTCCACAGTTTAGTGGTTTTCTGGGGAGACTTAGATCCAGGCCAGGGTTTTTTGGACCGTCTCCAACCCACTGCTCAGCTGCAGGTAATCAGCTGTTGCAGTGGGAATAAACTCCTCCCTGCTAGGCAGGAAAAGGGGAGGGATTGCTGGCTTCCTCCCAGGAAGCAGGTAGGAGAGAGGCTGTTCTCTCCTGATAGAGAGTCAAGGAGACTAGGCACTGGGAGTGCCGGAGGAAGCAGTCAAGGCTGGCTTGGAGCACTGGGAGTGCAGAAAGGAAAGCAGTCAGTGCAAGGCTGGCTTGGAGCACTGGAGAAAGAAAAGCAACAGGCTAGCTAGCAGAGTGTTGCTGTCTAATAAGGTTGGTGCAGTATGTTTTGTTAGTTTAACCCTGATAGAGAGGGTTATTCAAAGTGAGTCAGTGCTCAGACGAGCTAGGTTTTTGTTTAAAGGGAAACCTGTTATATTTATGTTTTCATTTGCTGCTGCCTCATATGTAAACTTACAAATAAAGTGCCTGGAATGAAGTTGCATTAAAAGACTGTGCATGTTTTTGCCCTACAGGACCGTGCTACGTGCTGACAAGGATCACAACAGGTTATGATTAATGTAGGGACTTCTAGAGCAGAAGCTTATAAACCCAACGTGCCTGATGATTTTTGTGATCTCATTCTGCTGGAATGCTCGGTGCTGTTGTTACAGCGAATGGCCGGACAGGCACAGATATCATCCCAGGTCTGTCTGAGCATCAGAAGAAACCCAGTCCGTAACACCTAAAGTGTCCAACGGAGCTTTGGCATTATGCATGCTAATCTTTTTCTGATTAACAGCTGGAAGGCCCAGATGTGCCCTAGGCCCATTGTATATAGGGGGGACATTTCTCTTCCCCAGGCCCGTTACACATACGCCCTTTGCACCCATGTCCCATAGAATTAATACCTTCTTTCACATTCCCTTTAGTGTAGGCTGTATCCCAGCAGATTTCTCTGTGTATCATTTCTGCTTGAAATTTCCAGTTTATAAATGGATATCAGGATATAGATAGATAGACAGAAAGATAGATAGACAGATAGACAGACAGACAGATAGACAGACAGACAGATACATGGATGGATGGACTGATAGATGGATAGATTTGAGAGGTAGGTAGATAGGTGGACAGTCAGACAGATATATATATATATATATATATATATATACATATATATATATATATATATATAGAGAGAGAGAGAGAGATAGAGATAGATAGATAGATAGATAGATAGACAGATAGAGAGATAGAGAAATAGATAGATAGATATATAGATAGATAGAGAATAGATAGATATATAGATAGATAGATATATACTGAATAGATAGATAGATAGATAGATAGATAGATAAACAGACAGACACATGGATGGATGGACAGATGGATAGATTTGAGAGGTAGGTAGGTAGATAGGTGGACAGGCAGACAGAGAGATACTCTTGCATTATCTACATATCACAAGGTAATATTCTGCCTGCCTTTATAAGTGATGTGCATAGGGACAGGATTATATTTTTGCATGTCACAAAAGAAGAAGATATTGAAATGTATTTCTGCACACGCATTACATTAATAAATATACACTAACACTGAATTTATAGCTTTTTAATGTTCTTATTAGTGTGTTATATCATTGTCATTATTAAAGATGTTAAGGATTAAAGTCATCAAGTCTAATAATATCAGCCCCCGTAATTGAGACGCGAAGAATCCCAGTTTATGTAGAACTGAGAGCCATCGCCAGCGAGCATTTTAAGTAGTTAGAAAGGTTAAGCGTCTGTCAGACTGCGATAATTCACTCTGTTCAATCCCAGCTTTAAATCTTCTTCATAAAATTTTATCAAACATTCATTAGAGGAGAGACTTGCAAAGTATTTTGACAGCAATTTGGATTTCTCTACTTGTTGGGTCTTTACAAATATTTTCAAATGCCGTCTTCTGCTTTTGTTTTGCTGAGTTATTCTGGTTACGCAGAGGAACACTTAAAACTGAAAGGCATTCTTATTAAAATGTGAAAATATATTTAAAGAGACATTAAAATAGAAAAAATAGGATGTGTTTTTACAAGTGATGCTACATAGCTTATGTGGCTACAAGATGCTTGGTCTAAATGCAGTTTGGAGTGCTTGCTGTATCTGCATTAGTACATTTTGTTGTTTATCATACTGAGCGTACCTGTTTATAAATGCATTAGTGCCCTTTGAGGTGTTATTATTTTATTTTATTATTTATATAGTGTCATCAGATTCCGTAGCGCTGTACAATGGGATTATTAATGCTCCTATACAGGTTGTTTTCTATGTAATGCATCAGTGCTTCCAGGAGATAACACTTGAATATTTATGACGTTTTATTTCTCATTTTATTTTGCGATATATCTGAATAAAGACCGTACGCTTACACAGTGTACTGATTTTGAGGGTTTGCCTGCTAAGATTTATTAGTAAGCTGAATTTAAATATTAAAATCTAAGGCATTACCAAAATACCATTTTCCTTTTTTTTTGTGAGCTTACTGGTTTCACGTTTCAGATCCACTTACTAAATTCTGTAAAAAAAAAAAAGCTTTTCTGAAACTGATGTAAACTGACACTGGGGTCCAAATAACATTAATCATTCTCTCAAACTCCCCACCAAAACAGGACAAGGAGACCCTCAGTCTCTGTTCCAAAAGAGCTAATACTCCACCAAGTCCTCATCTTTCCAGCCCTTACATCAATTACCCTACCTACCTAATATTTATCTTGTACAGTACTATTTCATACAAGATCTTCTACATCTTTCTGCTCACTCTTTATTTGATCTGTTATTTTTTTATTTCCTTTCTTTAATCTATTTTCACTCATAAAAAAAGCTCAAAATACAGCAAGTATGTAAAAATAAAAACAAAAAATTGGGTAAAAATGGACGCATGATATTGCTTAGAATATACCATGTGAAGTACTCTGCTGTGTTTAGTTTTGCAAACAGTATATATTGATGGAGTAATTTTTAGAGAAAAGGCAGTGTTTACATTGCTGCCTAAGGACACCTCCAGTGGTAGTCACTAAGATGGCCACTAGAGGTGATTCTGGGGCCGTGCTGCAGACTGTGCAGCACTGACATTCAGTGTCCCCACCCTCTGCATGGAGATGCTGAACTTTTCTATATAAATGCATTGATGCATTGATTCAATGCATCTCTATGAGGCGATACTGATTGGCCAGGGCAGCGTATGGCTCTGCCCCCTCTCACCTCTCTCCCCCACTCCTTGCCGCCACATTGGTTTAAATCCTTAGGACTGGCGTATTAATATGTTTGTCTTAATATTATCATATATGAGTTATGGATGGTAGTCAGTTTTCTCAGCCATGGTGGTGGAGTGGGGCCGGTCCACCTATAGTGGCCCCACCCCCAATCCACCTCCTTTCTCCCATAGAAAAGCATTGGATTGGCTGAGAACGTCAGTTCTGATGATCTCAACCAAGGAGGCGGGGCGGTGGCAGAGCTGTGGACTGGATAAAAGGTAAGTTTTCTACCTTTTTAAGGGGGGAAGGAGTGCCATGGGGCTAACATGTTTTTTTAACACCACAGGGTCAGGAATACACATTTGTGTTCCTGACCCTATAGTGTTCATTTAAGTTTTTTGTAAGCATCATTTAAATCTGCTATTTTCTCTTTTTTAAATCAGCATTAGCAATGGGGTGTGGTATTTGTGGGTGTTTGGCAGACTAGCCTTTTTGTCAGTGTTGATTACTTGAGTGTAAAGCAGAATTTATATCCTATGAAAATTATAGACAAGAAGGGCAGAGTTATAGTAACTGTACAGCTGGTAGTCTCCACGTTGTCAAATGTTACAAATACTCCAGCCCGTTAGCACCATATAGAGTCGATGATACATACACACTCTGGATCTAACTCAAACACCACATGCTTTCTGTAATCAACAGCAATTTCCTTCCACCCATAACTGAAATGACAAAACGAGTTATCTATATTTTCTGTCTTTTCACTTTTTTTTGTTGGCAGTTGTCTCCCGTAAATGATCTCTGTTTAGTTGTATAATGGAAAGCTTGCTTTGACTCTCATTTTCATTTGGTTTTGCTAAGTGTCTAAAACGTGATTTTGTAGACGTCTGTGGGGGATTCGTCTGGGTGTTGTGTAATGATGAATTGTTAGCGTTGCTTCTCCTTGCTTTCAGTTTAGGGACAGTAGAAAGCACTGCTTGGGCTGCTTGGGTGTTTCCTTGGTCCAGCTGAAAAGGTTGTTGGGAACTTGGGTTCTCTTCTGGCATGGGGCCTCTTGCAGCATTCGAGTTTATTTTAAGCGTGGGCAATGTATTTTCCGCTAAGGTGTCTTTCTTGATGACATCTCTTTTTGCAGGGTTATCTGTTGACGTAGGTTTTCTTCTGGGAACATTGAAATACGTTTTCTGTTTATCCAGAAAAATTTCATCTTGCATGGCCCTGATTTTTTGCATCTGCACTTCTTTAACTTCGGCAGGGAGTTCTAACGGTGCTAATTTAAATGGCCTTTTCAATGGAAAATTATCCATGTTTTTGATGTCTGTTGACAATGTAGTTTTTGTGGTATAGAGTCTGCCTTTCACCTGTTGATCCTCTTCACGTTCCCTTTTTACAGAGAGGTTTTCTGGACTACAATCACGTGATTCAAAATTTATATAATTTTTTTCTTTCTTTAGTTTAGGTGTCAGCAATTTGGGGCTATTGTCCATTTTCTGGTTTGTTCCCCGAATGCCTGTGACTGTGTTTGTCATAACAATGTTTCTTCCTTTTCCTGCTTCTGCTTCAGGTGTGAACTGTAAAAAACAAACCACCGCCTAAAATTCAATGACAGTATTTGCTTAAACATGACTTTAGAAAAATCTAACAATTTGTTTTATCTTATGAAAAGGAAATTCCCGTAGGACACACTGCCATCATATTACCTTTAGGTTATTGTGTTGGTTCCTTCTACTCTGTCTAACAAAAGTAGATTGAAAAATAACAAAAAAAAAACACCAAATCACACTGAAATCAATTCTTAAAACATACTTAAAGTTATTATAATTAGTTTTTTAGAGCCGAGTTCCCATTTATTTCAGTGAACCTACCATGGGTTAACTCATGTTTACGAACAAACAAGACCCAATAGCAGTTCTTAAGTACAAGTCTTGAAATTTGTTTACATTAAACTTCCAATCTGCCCTTTTTTATGTAGATGTGATTCATGAGTGCCAGAGTTAATGAAAACATATAAAAAAAAATTCAAAATTTAAAATATAAAAAGAAGTCATATTTAAAAAAATAAATATAAATAAATAAATGTAAAAAAAAAAAATTTTGGTGCTGTAGTGGATTTAAATATGTTTTTATCGCAACTTTCAAAATAAAAACACATTGAAGCAGCCTTATCAATATTATCATATCGATTATTTATTTAAATGCAACTCAAACTGATCTAACCAAATAGAATGTGCCTTGGGACAGTGTGTCATTGCCTGTATCAGTGGTATTTGTATTAACCTTGTAAAGAAGAAACGCTTAGTTGACCATTTCATAAATCAAATCTGCGCGATCGTGAGGTTTGTACATTTCATATAGGTACATCAAATAACTGAGTTATCTTACAACAATATTCATCTAATTAAATATCAATTCACAATGATCCACATCCTCCATCCAAAAACGTATTTTAGTAGCTTTAGACAAGTATGTCATAAAAACATAGATTCAACTGATACATTCTTATCTGCACACATGAATAAAATTATCACAAATTGAAATACACACTACTTCCTCTTACTAACTGAACATAAGGACATTGTGTGGACTTACGGTGGGATTTAAGAGCCCTGGTTTTGTCTTCAATACTCTCAGCTTCTGATCAGTTTCCATTCTTTTCCCTTTTTTTTATTATTCTTAGAAATGTTTGGTTATCCTATTGTCAGAAGGCTTGTTCAGAGACTGCATACTCTACAGATTGGTCTTCAATGTTAAGACATTCTATTTCAGCATTCCAGATTAAGCAACAAAGGATTAAGGTCAGTATTTATGAAATCCACTTAGTAAAAGAAGGCTGGTTCTCAATTATAAACTAATACATAACAAGAGTCTCATGAGCACAAGTCACTTTTGTACTTGCACTTTCAATATATTAATTATGTTGTTATTATTCTGCAAGATACAGAATACTTTGATTGAAAATATTTAAATAACACAATTTGTTGTACTCTTACATTGGCCACGAGACTTTTACCATTACAGAAATTTCTATTTGGCCTAACCATTTTTCCTGAAAACAGAACATTTTTGGGAAGCCCAAAAAAACAAAAATTTGAAATAGCAATTTTTCCCCAGTATATATTAAGGAGGAAACTATGGCAAGAGACATGCAAATGATTGCTTAACACAAACGTGCAGAATAAATTGTGATTGGATGAGTCAAGACAAGGTGTTGCAGCAATTAAAGTTAATGTAAACAAAGCCCCAGGACCTGACTGTATTAACCCACAAGAACTTAAGGAGCTAAATGTAGTAATTGGTGAACCTTTGTTTTTTTTTATCTATCAGGATTATTTTCTTTCAGGAATTATACCGGAGTGTTGGAGGAAGGCAGATGTGGTTTCTATATACAAAAAGGGTTCAAAATCTTTGCCAGGAAACTATAGACCTGTAAGCTTAACTTCTGATGCTTGGAAAGTGTTTGACTGGTTTTTAAGGGATAATATTCAGGAATTCATTAGGAAGAACATTGTTATTAGCAAAAATCTGCATGGTTTTATAAAACATAGGTCATGTCAAACTAATTTAATTGCATTCTATGAAATAAGTAAAAGTATAAATCACGGTGTTGCAGTCGATGTAGAAACATAGAAACATAGATAGTGACGGTAGATAAGAGCCGTTTGGCCCATGTAGTTGGTAGTCAATTTTCTAAATACTTTCAATAGTCCCTGGCCTTATCTTAAAGTAATAGTATAGTGCCAAGAATACAAAGCTGAAATTATTTTTAAACCTATTCCCCTCTAATTTAAGACTATGTCCTTTTGTTGTGGTAGTTTTTAAATATAGTCTCCTCCTTTACTATGTTGATTCCCTTTACAAATTAAATGTTTCTATCTTTCCTCCAAGCTATACATGTTAAGGTCCCTTAACCTTTCCTAATAAGTTTTATCCTGCAATCCATGAACTAGTTTACTGTAGTAGCCCTTCTCCGAACTTTTTTCAAAGTATCAATATCCTTCTGGAGATACGGTCTCCAGTACTGCGTACAATACTCCAAGTGAGTTCTCAGTGTTCTGTACAATGGCATGAGCACTTCCCTCTGTCTACTTCTAATACTTTTCCCTATACAACCAAGCATTCTGCTAGCATTTCCTGCTGTTCTATTACATTGTCTGCCTACCTTTAAGTCATCAGAAATAATCATCCCTAAATCCCTTTCCTCAGATGTTGAGGTTAGGACTCTATCAAATATTCTGTACTCTGCCCTTGGATGTATTATCTTGCACTTATCCACATTAAATGTCAGTTGCCACAGCTCCGATCATTTTTCTAGTTTACCTAAATCATTTGCCATTTGGCTTATCCCTCCTGGAACATCAACTCTGTTGCAAATCTCCTAGTTTTAGGAATCGGTTTTGGTGTAAAGATCATGTCCCTATCTGCCATTAGGAGTTAAATTACTTCACTTATGCAACTCTAGTCACACTTCCCTGAATGTAACTGAATATGAAAGTGTGTATGTGTTTGTATTTGTGTGTAGAGCTCTAGGCCGAAAATATATGAGCCTGGTCAGTGTGTCCTTGGGCTGAGAGGTGGGGATGGAATTCTTTCTCAATCACCCTGTAATAGTGTATATATAATGTTAGTTCATATTTGACAATTATATTATTATTCATTCCAACATTTCCTGTGGTAGATTCCTTTTTCAGTTTTTCAATTTCAAGGGAACCTTGTTCACACCTCTCTGCAGTTAATTTTAGTCCCATTACACAATTACAACTTCATTTGTTATATAATCAGAAACGATAAAAATAATGCTTCTATTTTGATCTTAGAAAGCATGAGGGATTCCACAGTAAGTAACAGTTTTTACTGAAATGAATTAAAATAGAACATTTCTGGGATTTGTTTTCACAAGTATCTATGCATTTCTTATCCCTCAAGCTGATACAGAATAAATTTAATTTTACAAGTCAATGTGGAAAAAGAAATAGAACTGGGTGATCTTGGATCTTGAGCTAGATATCTTCTCAGACTTTGCTGAACATCAACAGATCAACAGATCTGTGGGGTATGTTGGGTTATATTAGATGTTTCAAAAACAGTCCTCAAGGTTCTCCAATGGTCCACGATTTCCCAATTCACAAAGGGATAATGACAAACCCTGTATGGCTAATGTGCCCCCAGGACCATGCGAGGGTAGCAGTAGACTACAATGGAGTTTTGGTGGCAATATCAAAATATTAAAATTGAACAAAACTCAAAGTTCCTGACTGTAAGGAAACCTAGGATATCCAATCCTCATTCGGTAGTTTCCTCCTGAACCGCCAGAGCATCAGTGATTATAGCTCTCCGTTCGGTAGATGAAATAAACGAAATCCATACGAATACAATAGCTTTACAAGATGATTCCCTTAATAAAGCATACGAATCCCCAAACATCAGCCGAAGTCTAGAAGAAGGGTGCAACAAAACTGGCTTTTAATGATCACACACTGGCTTTTATGCAAATCCCCATGCAAGGGGACATCCCACAGGGAGGGACAAAGTACATCCAATCATTTACAAGAAAAACGTAAAACACTCCCAGCACAAACATACAATTTCCTCCCCTAGTCCTGGAGATAATCGAGTCTGATAAAGTAACAACTTGATTATCTCCAGGCAAAAAAATTACATTTTTCCCCATTATTCAGAACACCCATTAAGGCAAATGGTATCCCCACAAACAATATGTCCCCTGATAGCCCCGATCTGGGTGACCAACATATTCAAATTTCACCCAGATCGGTCCAGGGGTTCTCAAAAAATATGGAAGTCTTTTGTGACCAGCTAACCGCAAGGTGGCTGCCTAAAACAGTTCCATGAGTTTGGGTAGTTTTGCCGGTCTATTTCGTTAAGTAGCAAAAACCGAATAATCCCACGAACGGTTTCCCCTGGCTCTTAGCAGCGATTGTTCCCTTCATTCGAATGAACAAAAGTACCGAACAGCGCTCTTCTAGCTGTTCGGGAAATAAAGATCCAGCGTTGGTATGTTGAGAGCGGTGTTCGGGAAGTTGAGTGTCCGATTTTAGTTCCAGACACTCGACGACCAAGTCCCGCTGCCTATGTTCGCATAAAAAAAGATGGCTGCCCTTTTCTCAGCCACGTGGCGTTCGGTAATATGAAAGATGGCCGCACAGGTAGAGGGTTCAATTGAGGCATTCTTTGAAGTTTAATGAGCCAGGGGGGTGGTCTCTGTTCGGTAGTTACATCTACCGAATGAACAGGGGAGAAATACTGAACATGAAGAGGGATTTCTTCACACTGACTGACAGCATACTATGTAAATAGTTAACTAGTTGTCCTGAATGAGGGTTTAGTTGGGTGCAAGGATTGGTAAGAATTTCCTATCTTAATATAAGCACTGAAACTGTACGAAAGAGATGGAAAAAAAACTAGGCATTCCAAGCCAAACACAATTAAGAAAGAGTAATGAAAATAAACAATCCGTGGCATCCATATTGCACAACAACAATTAACAGACCCTTGCTTTGCTGTATATTTTTTATCAGGAACACTGCTTATCATCATACACCATAAATAATAAACAGATTATTATCACTACAGAGAGAGAGCATAGAGGAAATGGAAGATCCATTAGACACTGGACCCCAGGGAGAGGATTCACACCAGCTCTCCTAAAGGTAGGGATGCTATATGGGCCTAAAAAAATAAATTAAACAAACGAGAAATACCCTTAATTTGTGAGTGTGTGTGCAAGACTGTATGAGTGTGTCTGTCAGTGTGTGTTCTGTCAGTGACTGTGTCTGTCAGTGTGTATGTTTGTCAGTGTGTATGTTTGTCAAAGTGAGTGTATCTGTCAGTAAGTGTGTCTGACAGTGTGTGTGTTTCAAATCAGTGAGATTGTGTGTCTGTCATTGGGAGTGTGTGTTTGTGTGTTTAAGAAGCATTAATGTATATGTCACCATTTATTGGGCAAACAGCTCCCTCTGGGTGACATTTCTCTATATAATGTTTGCTGTTGGTGTCTGCTGAATGTGATTGTTTATTTCTTCTGTGTGCTTTGGATATATCCCATCACATCAAGATTATTATTCTTTTTCTGTTTTTAAGAAGCATTAATGTATATCTCACCATGTATTGGGCAAAAAAGCTAATTTTGCTAATTATACGGGTGACATGACATCTCTCCTCTCTATTTAATGATTGTTATAACTGTGCCGGCTGAATTTGATTTATGTGTAAGAAGCATTTATTATGTACATATCACCATTTATTGGAATGCATTCACTGTTTCTTCCCAAGTTAGGGAATTAGCATGCCTGCCCAAATAACTGCTATCCTCAGCCTCTGTGTCATATACATCTCTACAGAAAGATTAGACTCTCAAAGTAGAGATTAGTTCCATTTAGTCAAAATAGTCTATGTTGTCGACTTTCCTTAAGATTAACAAATCAGAATTCCTGGAATAGGATGCAGGAGACAGTCCGCTTGATTTTCCTGCTGGCCTTCTACAAGTCATCTTGGCAATTAATTTCTTTGAAGTATACTGTACATATAATTCCTGTTTTTAAAATATTTCCAAATCGATGTAAAAAAGTTAATTGACGATATGCAATATTACTGACGCAAGGGTACTTTACTTACAGCTAGACTTGTGGCTGATTAGGCTGGGCCAAATATTCATTTGTTTCTTTCATTGGGATGCCCAAATTACGGCCCAATGTGGGTTAGGCTTGGCAGAATTGTGGTACCGAAAACTCGATTCAAACAAAAATACC